TCCTTCGTTCTAACAACCCTGTGACAGTCACATAATAAAAACTATCACCCAGTGGTACCTGAGGTGCTGTGTTGGGTTTGGAAACACACATTAAAGTCCCAATGTGAAAAATAATAAATTATTACACAGTGTGTTTCTAAAAGTAGTCTTCCAGATTTAATTTTTCAAATCTCAAAATTCCTATGAGGAAACTGGCAGCACCTTTAGCTTCCTGACTCGATGAAAGGTTTATGAAAACCAGTGCCAAACCTTGTGCTCTTCTGGCCTTCACGACGATGGCAGAGTTCCTTAGTTACATCATGTGTCTAGCTTCCTGTAGTTGTGAATCCTAAGTAATAACTACACCTCAGCCTGACTTGCTACGTGTTCTAGATCTACCTGCCAATTTCACAGTAAATTCTCCCTTAAAACAGCTAGTCACCTTTCCCTTCCGTTGTGTCAAATCTGAACCAGATTTGGAACATCGGAACACATCTGCATTTCTAATCCCTCAGAAAACTTGAAATTGAAATTAGAAAGAAATGTTGAAATTATTTGCGTGTGTGCGTACGTTTTGAGACAGGGTGTCAGGGTGTTGTCTAGATTGGCCCGGAACTTGCAATCCTCCTGCCTCAGCCACCTGAGTGTTGGGATTACTGCCATGCAGTTATTGTTACTGCCATGCCGGCATTATTAATACCGGATAGGACTTTTAATCATTACACAGTCACACGATGGGTTTCATGACTGATGCTGAATACAGGAAACACAATTGCCTTCCTCTTAAGCCCTTGCCTTAAACTCTCCAATGGGGTTAATACGACACAAATCTCAGAGTTTGGATTCCAGCGGATGGGACATGGGGATGATGGCGGGAGAGGCAAGCAGAGAAGCTAAAGAACATACCAGGAGGCAGGGCATAGCTGCACCCACCTGCAATTCCAGCACTCGGAAGGCAGAGGCAGGGAGAGGACAGTAAGTTCTCATCAGCCTCATCTACTTGGTGAATATAGATACCTGCTGGGTCCTAGATATACGAACATCACAAAGTCCTTAGGGGAGGTGAGAAGCAAGAGCAAGTGCTGGAATTGACTTTGGGGCGTTGATGCCAAAGGAAATGAATCACCACTGGGGACTCTCTGAGAGGTAAAAGGGCTTCAGAAACACTGCTGTAGGTTACTTTTTGTTTGTTTTTTGAGACAGGGTTTCTCTGTGTAGCTTTGGAGCCTATCCTGGCACTCTCTCTGGAGAACAGTCTGGCCTCAAACTCAGAGAGATCCGCCTGCCTATGCCTCCCAAGTGCTGGGATTAAAGGCGTGCGACACCACCGCCCGGGTGTAGGTTATTTTTTAATGAGCACTATTCATTACTCTCAGGTGTGATAAGGGCTCACTCCATCAGCAGTTGGAGATCTTGCCCAGCTGCAGGAACACGATTTTAGACTCGTGCAGACACCCCTAACAAATGTTACTAAACAGAGAAAAATAAGCCTGAGTTTAAACAGGCAAGACATCTCAATTAGAAATGCACTCACTGAATTCCCAAAGTCTCGGTTCCTTCACGGGCATAAGATCTGAAATGACCTAGACATGTGGGACGCAGAGGCAGTAAAATCTGGAGTTCAAGGCCAGCTACGTAGACTTCTACATAGAGTTGGCTATGTCAAGTTCCTACATTAGGCCCTGTCTTGAAAACTGAACATGAAATTAAAATCTAGATTGGCAATCTGGTTCAAACAACAAACAGGAAAAGAGGGCACTGAGGACGAACGTCTCTCTCCTGGGTGCTTTGCCAGCAGCCCCATTTTTTTTCTCAGAGATATCACCTTTCATCTTGTCACTAACAACCTCTGCCATCTCCAAAGGACGCCGAGCCGGAGTCACAGTCTCCACCAAAGCTCCATTCACTGTCTCCCTTTCCCGTACAGAAAGCGTAGGTAACTGAAATGCACAGTGGAGTCACAGATATGGAGACTCACAATGGAGGAGAGGAAGGAGGGACAGACAATAGCCATGCTGCTCTCCCACCATGCCACTGGACTGAAATCTCTGTGCATAAATCACCCAGGGTCTCTTTAGTCTCTATGTACAAGGAGGTCGCTGAGCAAGTCACACACAGGCTCTGGTCAAGGAGAAGCCACCTGTGTGGGTTCACCCAGATATCCGAGTTGTACCAGGGAAATGCCAACACCCAAACCTCAAGTTAATAGGACAGCAGGGTCTGAAAACCGAAGCCAATCCTTACACCAAGAGGCAGCCTGAGTAAATAAAAGAATGATGCACACACACAGCTTCGGACTGAGCGGAGCGGGAGCCTCAGCCTGCATTCCGGAAGTGGGTGTGGCTCTGTTCAGCCTTGGGTTTGGTACTGAACCTTCTTCTGCTCAGGGTAATGTCTCAGGATCCCCTGGGACATACCAGACTCGAATCACTCGGCATCCTAAAATGGGCCCTGGGAGAGGCCCCTTCCACATTCATTTTTATCAATCTGCAGAGGTTCTCAGGCCGTCCTGGGCTAACATCATACTGATTGCTGAGATTGCTAAACGGTGACTTGGCTGGGAAAGATGAGATGGTCAAACGGATACCTCCTTCGGGGCTCTAACTGACTTGTGAAACACAGCGATTCAGGACTCTGCTGCCACCCTGGAGATGGCTCTTGAAGAGTGCCACCATCAGTGACTGTCAGCTATGGGTTGGCAGTGTGTCAGGGGCTTCACATGTATTGACATGTTCATTCCTCAGGGTGGCCCGAGGGCTGGGACTTACTGTAGTGTCAATAAAGAACTGGAAACCAGGGCTGGGGAGAGGACTCAGGGTAAAGTGCCTGATGCTCAATCGTATGGACCTGAGTTCAGAGCCCAGGTAAAAAGACAGGTGTGGCTACAAGTGTCTGTGACCTCACCACAGAGATAGGGAGACCCAGGGGGCTCCTTGGCTAGCCACTCTAGCCCAGTTGGTGAGTTTTGGGGTCAGTGTCTCAAAAACAGGGGTGGTGAGTGACTGAGGAAGGCACCACAGTGTTGCCCTCTGACCTCCACAGGTGTATGTGCCTGCCCTCCCTGACACATATGTTTGCATACATGAATACACACACACACACACACACACACACCATCCCCCAAACCCCAAAATTGAAACCTAGAGACATTTACTAACTTGCCCACAGTTATTCAGCAAATAATGTTTGAGCAGGGACCCAACACCAGGTGTTTACACACCTGCCCTCCATCGTCTGCCTCTTGCCTCGCCCTTCCTGACAGACTGGAAGAATGCCCTGAGACCAACCAGACAGTGTGGTCAGGCAAGCACAGGGTCCCTATGTCTGAGAGACAGTGACACACTGCCCACAGCCCTCATCCTGCTGAGATGAGACATGCCCCCCACGGGCATCCTAAATGCTCCCTCAGTAGGCTGGGGACATCTGTGCTAGCTGCTCAACTCTACCCAGATCCTCTGTTCAGAGAGAATTCAAGCAGGGCCGCATTTTCTATGAGTCCTAGGCTTTAAGAAGAAACAAGAGAAAAAGAGAGTCCGTTGGTGTGTGTAAGGTTCTCCATGCCACGACCAGGAAGCCATTAGGAACAGCAAACGTTGATGCACCTTTTGGTTCTCCAAGTTTCAGGATTTCTGTGTCATGCCTTAAACATTAAAACATGGTTTTGTCCCCCTATCTAATTCATTGCTTTGGAACTGGTCTCCTTGAAGTTGATATAAAAGCTAGTTCTCAAAACCAGTTTCATCCCTTACTCTTCCTTTTGCCTAACCTTCAAGGACAGATATCCCCCCCTCCCCGCCCAGAGTATGTTGACAGCCATCAAGGTGACTAAAATATCCAGTATGTCTAAGTGAGAAGTTATTTTTAAAACCATTTGGCTGAGAAAACTCCAATCATGATAATTTCAAGGGAATTCTCGGGACATAAATTAAATGTTTTTAAATTACGCTTTAAAGATTTGTGAGTTCGAATAATCTTAAATTAAAAATATCTGCACCCATGCATATGTATCAGGTGTCTCTAAGTTCTGTACCGTACAAAATTATGTTGGAGGTTTCCTTGTGTGGTCATCAACAGTAATGACACCGTCTCCCTTGACTGGGCCGCTTTTACCTTCTGGGCTTGAGGGTGTCTTTTACATTATCTTCGTGGGCTTCCTTGTGTCCAAACAGGGGTAATGATCCTCACTCTTTCATGGATCAACTGAAAAACGTGTCTGAGAGTTTAGCACTGGCTTTAGATAACATGGTATTAAAATAGCAAGCCCCAATCTGACTACAGGGATGCGGCCTGGCTGTCTGAATGCTGTCTGAGCTCATGACCTCGGGTGGGTCCAGCCTGGCTTCTCTAACTTGAGGACTGAAGATCCCCACCAGGGCAGGCACACCGTAGGTATTCAGCAAGCCGCACCTACTTTACCTTGAAGAATTCACAGGCCATCTCAAAGCCCTGAACATCAGTACAGTCCCAAACACATTTCTGCAGCAGCTAGAAAAGCTTCAACCGCCCTACACTGTGTGGATTGGGGCTGTGCTTTGCCTTCTGGGGCCCTGCCTGAGAAAGCTGTTTCTGGAAGCCTACGAGGAGGCACTGTAGCTTAACAAAAACTAGTGTGTCTACTCCAGGCTCAGGTTTTCCTACCCTGCCATTCCCTTGGTGAACCTCACTTTGTGCTACTTAGGCAGACAGGCGTGAGGCCTGGGGAATGGACAAGGACCGGACTGAGGCTGGCTGGGCCTGCCCTTGTCTTTGAGACTGTGCAGGGTGACCACAGGGCCTCTCCAGCTCCAGCAGATTGCAAGCCAGGGCCCTGGGAGGAGCTAGAAGCCTCAGGCAGGAGAATGCCTGAATCCTGAGTCCAGCCTCGCTGGGGAGGGAGCCCAAGTGTGCCCACAGTCAGTCTCCAAGCAGTTAGGGGTGCAGCTGGGGTGGGGTGGGGGGCGCATGCAGCTGGGTTAGTCTCCACTCCGCCACGCGGCTTGGCATGCCCGCTGGCGCTTAGGCAGAACAGACTTGATGCTTACAATGATGCCAGCCCAGAACGGAGTGTCTCTGACTAGCAGGGAGGGGCTGATGCTCGCCATGAGGAAGCCCAGCACGGTCACCGCTATGCCCAGAGCCAGCTGCAGCAGCGCCAGCAGCAGCGGGAAGCGGCAGCCACAGCAGGTCCGCGCCTCCTCGTCCACTCGCTCTTGCGCCCCAGGGCCCGGCTTGCGCCCCATGTTCCCAACGGTGGTGGCTGCGCCTGGGCCGCGGCTGGGCTTGCCTGGTCTGCAGCCCGGGTGAGCAAATGTGGAAAACACTCTCAGGCCAGGAGCGGCCTAGGGGGACCCGAGGGGGGTCGCTAACTGCCAACGCGTGGGGACCCGGCGCCCAGGGCCTGTGTGATGGGAATGCCAGCCCGCTGTGCTTTTTTGGTTCCCAGGATGTGCAAGACCCGGTGCTGAATGCTAAAACCGCTTGCATTTAATTAATAGATCATTGAAGACAAAAATGGGTTCGGCTGCACTAGCAGCTGTGAAGTCGTTGCCAAAAGTTATTTTTTTTTTCTAAATGTGTAATCCAACTAACAACGGAGGGAGGGAAGAGGGAGGGAGGGAGGATCAGAGGAAAAAAATAAAATGGAACAGAAAAAGAAGAAAACAGGAAAGAAAAATAAAACTTTTTTTTCTCACTGAGGCACCTTTTATTCATGTTGGGTGAGATGATCTGAGTTCACACGTGGCCCACACATCATGCACACGCGTGCGCGCACACACAAATAATAATGATAATAATAACGATAACAATACTAATAATAAGTGAAGTAGGTCTTCACCTTGTGGCTAAGTGTCTGAGGGTGCTGACGACTCTTGACAGAGATGCACAGTTGCACCCAGCAACAGTTAAGAGCCACCGTTAGCCAGAGTGATGTGCTATGACAGGTAGCTACAGATCTGGTCCCCACCAGAAGGCACAGAACAGATGGGTGATCCCAGATAGTCCCTTTTTTTCATACCTTCACACAGACTAGTGTGAAGCCACTAAGAAAGAAATAGTCCCGTTTGGGAGTGGGAGTTTAGGCTTCCTTTTGTTAGGTCATTGTAGCATTCGGAAGCTTTATTCAAAATAAATAATAAATAATAAATAAATGGTGTTAAATAAATAAATAAATAAGTAAATGGTGTTAATAAATAAATAAATAAATAAATGGTGTTAATAAATAAATAAATGGTGTTAATAAATAAATAAATAAATAAATGGTGCTAATAAATAAATAAATAAATGGTGTTAATAAATAAATAAATAAATAAATAAATAAATAAATAAATAAATGGTGTTAATAAATAAACGGTGCTGCCTATTCCTAGGTTGGTCGACGCTGCCAAGTCTAACCTCCCGCTACCCCCTCAGAGTTCCAGACTAACTACGGTTGGCAGAGACCCACTCACTCAATGGGCCTCGGTACACTCCCCAAGTTCCCACTCACGATGGCCCGGTCACTGCCACACTCACCAGGGACACAGATCCATGAGGATTTCCAGAAGGAACAGACAAAAAAGCTGGTACTAAGAATAGAATATGATTCCCACTGACAAGGACAGCCCAGCAGAAACAAACAAACAAACAAACAAACAAACAAACAAAACAAAACAACCACTTGGTTTTTCTATATAAATCTGGATTCTAATATTTCCAATATAAACATTTCTTGGAAATCTTTGAACTGCATATCTTAGCTGTCTGTTGTTGTCTGTAGGAACCATTTCACCAGCAAATTTTGGATGAATGATAATCAGGTTTTCTACACAGTAACATAACATAAAAAGACCTTAAAGACTGGCTCTGTGGTCATCTTTAACATGTGTGCTGCCTGCACTTAACTCCAATCTATCTGCTATCACTCTTCCTGCTAACTGTGGATCTACAACTAACCATGGCAGGGCTGGCTCTTTCTGTCCCCCAGTTCTGTGACCTGCCAACCTCCTCCGCAGTCCCCACCTACCATGCCTGTGAGTGGAGCACCTACCTGCACCTCAGTTTGCTTTCCTCGCTGTGAGACTGTGGAGTGACAACGCTTGCCTCAGAAGGTTGGCTGCAGGTTTAAATGCTGACACATCCTGGTATCAATAACTGATCGACTGTAAGTGATCAGTAATTACTAGCTGTCATCTTGATGCTGTCCCCCCCACCCTCTGCCTTTTTATTTATAAGATTCTTCAGTGTGCTTTGTGACGTTGGCATTAAAATGGAAAGTTTTCTCCATATATGATTTGCATAGTTTATTTCAAGTTATATTGTGGAAGTTATTGATTACTAGCACTGCAAAAACATTTTTTTGTCATGGTGGCATACTCTTGTACTTCCAGAACTTGGAAGACGGAGGCATGAGAATAAGGAGTTCAAGGCCAGCCCCAGCTACATAGCAAGTTCCTGGCCAGTCAGGGCTATATGAAACCCCACCTCAAAATCACACAACAAAAGAAATGGTTTGATAATCTAACTTTGATAGTTAATCTTCATTGTCAACCTGACTAAATTTAGAATCTCCTAGGATACACAGCTTCAGGTATGCCTGTGAGGGCTTTAACTGAGCAGGAAGAAAGAATCCACTCTGAATGTGGAATCCTGAACTCTGTGGATTGGGGGCTCAGATAGAATAAAAAGAAGACATGGGGAGGGGCTGAGTACCACATTCCCTCTGCTTCCTTACCGGACACAGTGTGACCAGCTGTCCCCCACTCCTGCCTCCATAACTTTTCCACCATGGTAGGCTGCACCCTCAAACAAGACAAACCAAACTCTTTTTCCCTTAAGTTGCTTTTGCCAGGTCAGAACAATGAAAAAGAACTAACATGGTAACATTGAACTAGATGTTGCCCAATTCAGTAGGAGAAAATTCTTATGTCTCAAACATTTCACCCTAAAGTATTATCCACCGTGTGTTAGAGGCGGTCACTGTTTTTTGCCTCTCTCTCTTTGTGTCAAGAAACAACGCACCCCATCTTGGCATCATCTATAGAGCACCTATGTCCTAAGAACCGGGGCCTCAGCTTGACGAACCACAAAATCATGGGTACCCTGCCCACTACCCTGGGATCAAGGGGTGTGTGTGTGAAGGGTGTGCTGGAGCAGGAGGTATAAGATGGCCTCTTTAGATAAGAAGAGATGCTACAGTGGAGGGGGCGTCTGTTCCTTTGGGAGCCAGCTGCCCATGACTGGTGTTCTCTCCCATAACTTAATGCCAGTCAATGTGGCAGGTGGGAATCAGGTCAATGGGAAATAAGAGACAGACTAATAGAGAAAAAAAAAAAATGGTGTGGGAGGAGGCTGGTTGTTACGATAAATCTTTCCGCCAAATGCCGCCTGAGCCCCACCGCCACGTGTGAGCTTTACGCCAGCCGCCCGCCCGAGTTAGGCCCAAATGAATACACAGAAACTTGTATTAGGTTCAAAGCTGCTGGCCAATGACTACGATTCTTCATCTGTTAGCTCAGTCTTAACTATCATAAATCTATATATTTTATAAGACTTATCTGATGCCTTATTGGCGTCCCTCAGTGCTGGTGGATCACATCGTGCCGCTGGAGCAGGAGTGGAGGGGAAAAAGGAGCCCTTCCTGTTTCTCCTTCGCTTAAATATGAGTCTCCTTGCTATGTCACTTCCTGCCTGGATCACCACTTATCTACTACATTTCCCAGAATCCTCTTTGACTCCTAGTCCTAACTTGCTGTCTCATTGGCCAAACAGTATTTTATTCAATAATCAATAAGATAAACATACACAGTACGTTCCCCATCAGCTGGTGACAGTATTTAAGCATCAAAAAACAAAACAAAACAAAACAAAAAACTGTGGCTGAAGTCAGCGCCCTCTGGAGTGTCCTTTGGGAGAGCTTGTATGTACCACTGCCTCCCCACACCATTTACAATTTGGGATTTCAGGTCCTATTTCATAATCAGCACACTGGTATCTGGGGTGTATTTGTGTCTACAAAGCAGCCTGGCTCGCTTACTAAACTTCTGCCCAAATCTAAGTTCAAGGGTTGTGTAGACATACTCACTTTTGTGTGTCTTGAATGGCAGTTACCAAAAAAAAGTTAAAAAAAAAAATTTAAAAAAAAACAGCAAACAAACAAAAAATAAAATACAGAAACAACGCAAGGAACAAAAGTCTTATTTTGGCTCACGGCCTTAGAGGGCTCTCTCCTTCAGATTGTGGTGGTGGGAGTGGTGGAGGTGTCCCCAGGAATGCCGGCTCTAGCAGCTCTCTCCTTTCCCCCTTTCTAGGCCCTGAGTCATGGGTTTGTGTCAAACTGTGTTCAGAATGGGTTTTTCTTGCTTGGTTCATCCTCTCTGGGAAAGCCCCCACAGCCATACCTACGGACAGACGGATGTACCTCCATCTGTCATTCTGAATCTAGTGGAGGTGACAGTGAAGGTTAACCTCCGCACTAAAGCAGCATGGCCGGATCTGACTTAGCCTTGCTGGGGACATAGCTTGGTGACCAAGGCCTGCTAAGCACAGTCTGGACCCCACAAAGGCAAAGGGCCACACCCCTTTCTAAGTCCTGCTTCCTGTTCACTGTTCCTTCTCAGTCAGCTGACTTGCTGACCTCTTTCCCTGCGGTCCTCACACCCTTAAGGTTCCCATTCTAAGGCAGGAGGTAGCTGGGCTGTGTAGGGCCTGAGAAGACACACAGAGCCAGCTGCTAAGCTGTTGTTTTCATGAGGAAGCATCATGAGAAGAGGCAAACTTCTCTGCAGGACGATGAGCTCAGACTCCGATCCCTGCTTCGGCTTCGGGGCACCAGGCGCTTTAGTGCCTGTGTCTGGGTTGGGACCCTTCCCTGGTGGTCCTGATTCAGGAAAGGGGATAGGAAAGTGTGTACTTCCCAAAGAACTTCCTGGTAATTCTGATACATGGTTAGGCCTGCAGATCACCCTCAGTCAGAGGACAGGAAAGAAGGGAATGGGTGAGGACGTGAGGGATGGATGGAGGGAGGGAGGGAGGAGGGAGACAGACAGACAGACATGAAGGTGTTTGGCAATAATCTCCATCCTGCAGGTACTGGGAAGATAGACAGAGTCTGGAGAGTCTCAGGCAGAAGCAGAGAGAACCAAGCTGAACGTGCCTATGTTGCAAGAAGTCACCTCCACCTCTTGGCAGAGGATAGACATGAAATATGGGTTAATTTAGAATGTAAGAGTTAGCTAGTAACAAGGCTGACCTATCGGCTGAGCATTTATATTTTAATAAGTCTTCCAATGACTATTTGGGAAGGGCCGTGGAGACACAGAAACTCTGCCTATAGCAGGG